TCATTGTGTCAGTGTTGCAAAAGGTAAAGCTGTTAGTAAGAAAGCAGTAAATTGTATGGCTCTGTTGTGGGGGACTAAAGTATTTTTTCCCAGAGTGCATAAATGTTGTCTGCTTATGGAAGCGGGTCATAGTCTCTTTGCTATGAGCTCTCTTCATCAAAGTTAGAGCCTCTCCTCTCCCGAGCTAGTGTTTACTTTTTACATTGAAAAAGTCTTGGATCTTGTTTATGCAGTTATAGGAATAACTGAAAGATACAATCGTGTATTGTTTGATATAATTATTTTTACGCTGTTATTTTCATTGCTCTTCCGGCTCAATGTAATGCTTGTTTATGTTCTGGTTTTGCTCACACAACAGAGAAATCATCTCAAACAGTTAGAATAGTATACATTTCCAGTGGTATCATTTCATTTTTGAAAGAATGTACGTTAAGAAGTTTCAGGACTTGGAGATATTCCTACCTTTTCCTGGGACCTCCTCCAACATTCTCGTGACAATCGCAAGCTTTATTGTTACATTTGTTTGTTTTGCTCTGCTGAGCACCTTCACCACAGTACTTTTGTACAAGTGTTGATCATTCTGTGAGAGAATTCCATTTTTTGTTTGTAATATATCTGTGAGTGATGAAAAATATATAGTTGTACAAACTTTTTTTGCCCTGAGTTTATTTCATTTGTAGTTAATAGTTCTTTGAATGTTTCCGTGCGTGAGCATGCATGTATATGTTTGTGCACCATTAGTGTTTTTGTCTATTTGCATGTAACTTTATCTTTATGAGGGGGCAGTGAATAGAGTAATGGTTTACAGTCCAGTCCATATTTATTGGTATCAGATAATATATTATTTCTGACCATCAGTAAGTTAGTTTTTGTTCTTTAATTTGCTTGTTGTTGAATTTGCTTTGTGATCCCCTCTCTTCAGCTGCCAGTATTGTTATTTGGTTTATTTACTGTAGTGTATTCCTGCATCTCAAGTACTGGCTTCAATTTCAGTCCATGCCAGCATTTTTATACTTGCAGGGTTTTTTCTTAGTTTTTCTAAACCCCTCTATAAAGTCAAACATCTAAGCCTTCTCGGAACAAATGGAAAACTTGGAAATCTTGTGCGGTCATATATCGAAACACGTTGATAGGTAAATGTCAGAGAAGAATAAGTCATTTTGAATTGCTGCAGGCATTGAACTGTTTCAATTGAGAACTTTTACAGAAGTCACTGAGCCCCAGAATATGTACATTACGTTATCTCACATATGCACTGAGATATTTACTTGTCATAGATTGTCATGTTATTAAAAATGGTCACAGATGCAAAAATAATCAAACTTCAATGTGTCACAAAGGATCACAAACACTAAGGTGCTTCTGTGATATGTAAAAGTTTCAGACACTGTTCACATTGACTGGTGTAGTTAAAAGTGTAAAGAGAGAAAAAAGAAATTGTAGCAATCACTTGCCATTCCTGTTTCTTCGCTGTTGAAAGTTCCCGAACTTCGTCAATGCAAAATCAACCTAAGATGCCACCATTTTGTGAAATTGATTGCTGCCTCATTTAGTAAACGCCAAAATTCCTTTTTTTTGCTCTGTCCATCAGTTGCTGGGTTTTGTGCTTTTTTTGCGGGTGGTTGGAAGACACCACTAGTAGGTCTTACTTTTTTTCTTTCCATTTATTGTTACTGTCCACCTGTCTTTCTATTTCCATGCACATGATAACAATTTTTGTGTCAAAGTGCTTTTCTTTACTCCTCTTCAGTTTTTATTAAATACAGATCAAAAGAGTAAAATGCAAAGTAGAAATTCTTGCATCTCTTTTGTGTGAATGTCATATGACTAATTGACTTGAGAATATTTAGTGAAATCTTGATAAGTATGCGTAACACATAAGTACAATAGTGCTTTTGATAAGAGTTCTTGTATGAGTCTCTTCTTTGTAGACACTTTCTTGTTGTGTGGTATATTTTTTACAAAGATATCGTGGCATTGCGTGATAGTTTCATTCTGCTTTTCTGTCTTTTGTGCATCAAGCTTCCATTTTCTACTACCAAATTTTGAAAATGGTAATGGAGTCTGCAGTCAACAGATCAGAATGTGACCTTTTTCCTTGTTTTTAATGAGACAAGGGTACAGAATCACCACGAAAAAAAAAAATGTTGAAGTATCTTCTCATTGGAGATAAATAACGCACATGTTAGGCTAGGCATGCTCTGGGCTGTTTTAGTTGTGCAACAGTTGCTGTCTCCGTGCAAATTATTTTATACATGACGTGCACAGAGCTAAGCAATGGCCGGGCAATAGTAGGCTATCATCATAACTGACTTCCTCATTTGACGCGGTGGACTTCCATGACGCAGTTGTCTGTGCTCTTGTGATTGCACTTAGAAAGAAGAAAAGGAAAAAGTGGTTTTGAGTTCACCCTTTGACCAGTCAGAGATTTTTAAAAGAGTATTTTGTCAAACTGCATAAAGATTTGAGAGCATACTCTCCCAAGTTTTTAAAAGCTATTTTCATATGGACAGTTTTAATGAACTTTTATGTCTCGTGGGACCCTCAATTCCATATGGAAACACCAACTGGAGAAGAAGCACTTCTGCTGAGGAAAGACAGTTTGGTTGCCTGTGCACGCTGTATGTCAGTTTGATACGTAACAGGGGATTTGAGCAACAGTTGCGTTGCCGGAAAGTTGTGACAAATCACAAACTCTTCAGTCTCCAAAATCCAGAGTTGCCTGTGCGCGCTGTATGTCAGTTTGATATGTAACAGGGGATTTGAGCAACAGTTGCGTTGCCGAAAAGTTGTGACAAATCACAAACTCTTCAGTCTCCAAAATCCAGAGTTGCCTGTGCGCGCTGTATGTCAGTTTGATATGTAACAGGGGATTTGAGCAACAGTTGCGTTGCCGAAAAGTTGTGACAAATCACAAACTCTTCAGTCTCCAAAATCCAGAGTTGCCTGTGCGCGCGATGCTTATTTATTTCTTTGTTTACATTTGGGCGAGAAAACCTTTGCTCAACTTAAGTTGCCCTGTGCGCGCCTAACCTTATAATTCAGATTCCGGAGGGAAAAGGCAGTTCCAGCTCAGACACGGAATGGTTTACTGTTTCCTTGAATGCTGATATTTCAAGCGGTGTTTGCTCCTCAAGAGAGGATGATCTTGACTTTTTTCAGTCCCTGTCTGTCAGTACGTCTAATAGTCCCAGTTCTTAAGACTCACTTGTCCAGTCCAAGGGAACTGCTCTAAACTTTCGTTCTTTCATATTTGTATGTGGACTTGTGTTTGTACGCGCGTGTGTGTGTGTTTGTGTATTAATGTTTCAGAGAGAAAAAAAGGTTTTGGTTAATGACTGCCATACGGATCTGTGGAAGTAGAAAGAGATTGAAATGTGTCTGTCTGGTGGTAAATAACGGGAAAGAAGCTGTTCATAGTTGCATTTTTGTAGCTGTCTCTTGTGATTCATCGTTGAATCAGGTTATGGCCCTGTTAGCTGTTTTTTATCATGGTGTTAAAGACTACTTTTTTTTCTCCAAGGAATTTGTACTTTATCAATGGTTTTTTGTTCAAATTAGCTGAAGCACATTTTAAATAAACAGATGTTTCTGCTAATTTTCACAAATATATAGAAGCAGAATGGTTTTCAGTCACCCATATGTTTTCTACATTTAGAAACACATGTCCAGTATTGGCCTCAATCTGACTCAGTTTTGACTTAGTATGAGTATTTTATTGATGCTTGTCTCGGTTGTTATTATTTTTTGTTCTGGTTATTGCCTTTATCCAAAGTTCTGATGTGACTCTCTCAGCTTGTAGACTCGTAGATAAAAGAATACTATTAAATTCCATCTTCTTTCAAAATTGTTGCATTATTTCATTTGTATCCTTTTTTATTCTTTTATTTCTTTATGGTTAGTCATTTTGCTTTATGTAGATAATCCTTTTTTTTTACCCCCCCCCCTCT